ATAATCTGGAACTCGATGCTAGCTCCTACTAGTGTAGCTAAAGCCAAGTCTTACCAACAAACACGCGACACAGTCTACCTCCATGGATAGACGGGGTACCGTCACCGTCGAGGGCGAGGCGCCGCCGCCGGCACCACCAAAGCTCGAGCGCAATGCCACGTTCGAGCGCAATGCCACGTTCGAACTCTCGGTCTTGACGAGGCACTCGACGTTGTTCGCCGGCGCCTTCAACGCGCGCGTGATGTCGCCCTCGCATATGAACAGCTTGCACATCGGCAAGCGCCTCGTGAGGTACCAGTACTCGACGGCGGTGCAGGCCCTGGCGCCAGCCGGGAACTCCAGGCAGCGCAGCTCACACAGTTCGACGCTCTCGCCGAAGCCCCTGTACTCCTCCTGGCAGTTGCCGCCGTTTACGTCGCAGAAGCCGGCGTGACGTTCGAACCCGGGCGCAGCCGAACTGGGCGCAACGACCGAAGGGAGAAGCCCGTCGGAGACGTGCGAGAAGTAGGCGAAGGCGCCGCCGCTCGCGGCGATGAGGCAGGTGCAGATGATGCAGAGCACCTTCGGCCAGCAGAGCTTGGGCCACGAGAGCCAGCCGGAGGCGGAGACGGAGCCCTTCGGCGTGGAAGTCGTGGTCGTCTTGGGGTCGACCGTCTTGTTGACCGTCTTGGGGGTCTTGGGCTTGACCGTCGCGCCCTGAACAGGGGCGCGAGACTGGCTGTGAGCGGCGAGCAGGGGGCGGAAGCTGCACGTGCAGGCGGCTAGCACCGAGTTTGCGGCCGACGGCGTGGATCCGCGGGTCGCCTTGGACGCCGCCTTGCCACCGACAATGCCCTCGTTGCCGCCCGACCCGAGCAGGGCCCCGAACCCGTTGCCGCAGTCGATCGGGGCGGACGCCTCCTTGCGCTCGTTGCGCTTGTTGTTGCGGCGCGACTTTGAGGGGGTCGTCCACTCGGTGATGCCCTGTGCACACGCACACAGGCGCGTCAGCAGCTGTGGGCGCCGGATCCGCTTGCAGAACGCGCGGCCGCCTCGGCGGGAGACTCGGCGGCGGCGGACTTGGTGGCGGCGGACTCCTCCGCGGCGGCGGACACCTCGCCGGCGGCGGACTTGATGGTCGCCTCCTCGGTGGCGGACACCTCGGCGACGACGGAGGCGGCCTCCTTAGTGGCGGCCTCCTTCTTCACGACGACGTTGTTCTTGACGCCGCACGCCTGCGCGAGGGAGAAACGTAAATGTTTGGAGACGGGGACACCGCAGGGACAATGCCGATCCTGGCGTAAAAGTGCGCACCTCAGCTCCGAGCGAAGGCGGCAGCGTCAGGCTCGCGCGGCGGCGCTGATACCACTCCTCATACTCCGCACTGGAAGCGAAGTAGCCACCGACCTTGGTCTGAACCTGGGCCCCCTCCGCGAAACAAAAGCTGATTGGCACCTTTGCGAGGCTCCGATGGAACACGTGGGGGTTGGCGAACCAGACGCCCTTTGTTGATCTCACAACCAAGAAAGCCGGCTCGCCCTCGCTCTCATTGAAGTCGACCATCTAGCGCCTTCTCGGTTCGCGTCCTGCAGAGCAGAGAGAATGGGGGCCGCCCGTGAGAAGGGTGAGACAAGGCGCCTGCATTAGTCGGAAGCGCGAACAGCTATGCGCGCATGTGTGGGGTCTGAAATGAGAGGAGAGTGACGGGGGACAAAGCTCGGACGTTGAGCCTGCGGAGGGCGGCGGACGAGGGAGCGGGCGAGTGATGCAGGCGACGACGCGGGAACATGATTGTGAGATGTAGGGGGGCGGCGGCGGCGGCGTGGGTGGCGGAGGGGCGGGTGGCGGCGGCGAGGGCGAGGTGGAGTGCGGCGGCGGCGTGGGCGGCGGAGGGGCGGGTGGCGGCGGGGCGGGTGCATGGGCGGGTGGCGGCGGCGAGGGCGAGGTGGAGTGCGGCGGCGGCGTGGGCGGCGGAGGGGCGGGTGGCGGCGGGGCGGGTGCATGGGCGGGTGGCGGCAGCGAGGGCGAGGTGGAGTGCGGCGGCGGCGTGGGCGGCGGCGGGGCGTGTGGCGGCTGCGAGGGCGAGGTGGAGGGAAGCGGCGGAGCTGGTGGCGGGGGCGGCGGAGCAGGTGGCGGTGGGGAGGACTAGGTGAAGGGCGGCGGCGGAGCCGGTGGCGGTGGGGAGGGCGAGGTGGAGGGTGGCGGCGGCTTGGGCGGCGGAGGGGCGGTGGCGAGGGGCGAGGGCGAGGGCGGAGGGAAGCGGCGGGGTGGGCTCAAGCCCGACCGAGCCCCGAAAGAAGAGGGCGTACGTCTGCAGGCGGCCAGACAGATGCCGGCGCTGCATGCCATAGCTCAAGGCAAGCCCGAGCGCCCCTACGCGGCGAGAGAGCGGTCCGAGAGCGCGGGGAGAGCGCGGGGAGAGAGCGGGACCCGGGGGGGGCGGGGGGCGGGGGCGCTTCCGTCGCGCAGGGCGGCGCGCCAGCTCGGAGATGCTCTGAGGCTCAGTCCGACCAGCCGGGCGTGTTGAGCAGGAGCAGGACGGGCTGCTTGCCGCCGATCGAGTTGGTGAGCAGCGTGAGGGCGATGAAGGTCATGTGCAGGAAGATGAGCGAGCAGCCGAGCGGCTTGGTGAGGCGCCACCGCGAGATGATGAAGGCGACGAGCAGGAAGCACGAGTAGATGAGCACAATCACGATGGGGAACCAGAGGTTGCCCTTCAGCGCCGGCGACTCGTAGGGGCCTCGGATGATGTTCCAGAGCATCCACGAGAAGCCAAGGCAGACGAAGATCTGCGGAAGGGGTGGTGGTGGTGGTG